CAAAGGTAAAAGATCACTTTAATCAGGTCCAGGGAAGAGAAAAAGATTTTTAGAGAATAAAACTTTACAAAATGTAGGGCTGCAAAATGGCTTAATGAAAGGTGGAAAAGCTGATCCTGGAGTGTTTGTTTTGCTATTTTTTTTTTTTCTTTTGAGACAGGGTCTCATTCTGTTACCCAGGCTGGAGTGCAGTGGCACAATCTTGGCTCACTGTAGTCTTAACCACCCAGGCCCAGGTGATTCTTCCACCTCAGCCTCTCAAAGTGCTGGGATTATAGGCGGGAGCCACTGCACCAGGCCCGTTTCACTAATTTTTTCTTAATGTAGCAAGAAATAATCTCTAGGGATTAAGTTACCATAGAAGACAATTTCCTGAGTTTGCCTATTCAGTCTGAACAGTTCACTTTGCATCCGCCCTAGTTTTGCAAGGCACACCTGCCTTTAAAATAAATGTATCAGACCTTATAGGCAATAAATTTTCCCTCTTTGATCTCTTATCACATTGTGTTTCAAAACATCAGAGTCTAAAGCTGTGTCTTGAATAGTAGCCAAACCTCAAAAAACACAGCTGAGTTTGATCTTAAGCCCACAATATCAGAAGCCTTGCAAACTCAGCCACAACTCATTTTTTGAACCTCATAATAGTATGCTGCACTGATTCTTTTCTGTCTGCCATTTTAAGGCTTAAAGGATTAGATTAAAATGTATAGCTGAATAATGAGATTTTCATTTAACCCAAAGGCCGGCCTCCTAACTAGCCATTATTCACATGATGATAGCAGGATCCTCCAGTATTGTCCCTACCCCAATGGGCCACTTTCCTCTAGATTACAGAGAAGTGGGTTTGTCACAGATTCCTGAGTCAGTCCCTGCCACCCAATCTACGTCAGTGCTGCCAGCCACCATCACTGCTGTCAGCTCAGGGTTCCAAACCTCTGCTCCCAGCGTCCTTCAACCCCTATTCATTGTCCTGTTTCCTGCAACTGCTTATTTTTTCAACATACTCCAAGTGTAAGAAAACCACCCCATTCTTCACTCAACATGTATTATTAGTACACAGTTCCTTTACAAAGGTTAAAGGTGAACAAAGGATAATTACAGCATGGTGCAGAAACTCCTTCAAGTTGAAGTCTACATATCACTTTTATGAAAGGTTCCTCAGTCTTCCTGATCATCTTTCTCCACAAACACCTTCCCTTTGTCATGGTTCTGGATCCTTCTCTCTCCCTCCCTCCAAACCATTCTTCTATCTTTCTTATATTTCCTACTGCTATCAACTTTAGCCAAAGAAGGAATTTCTCAAATTTCTGCTACTTTATTCTGCCAAGGAAATCTAAGCTTTTTATTTCACCCTTTTCCTTCCAGACATTGCCTAGAGACTTCAGCCTTTCAAACTAACAACAACAACAAAAAGCCAATCAAGGTATCTTCTAAGCAAAAATTCACTTTTTTTCTCTGTAAGGAATGTGCCATTCTCCTAGGTATCTGGCAAAAGCTGTATGCATCCTTAAAATAATAATTTTTCCTTTCTGTTATTAAAACATACCAGAAATTTTACAGTCAAATGACTGTTGTGCTCTCCAAAGAAGCACCATGAGAGGGTATTCACTTACTGAAATCATATGATCATCTCTCCAAATAGCTTCAATTATCTTCTAAACAATGTACTAATTCCTCCAGTAAATGGCTCACTGGTATGTTCCAAGACACCTTCTTTTGGTCCAATTCTTTTACCTCTGCTTTGAGTTCTCATTCTCATTAGTACATTGATTCAATCAACTTACAAGTTAACATGCCACTAGGCGTGGAAGACGCAGTCCTAGTACCCAGGTAATACAGAAGTGGCTATCCCAGTGCAAGCCATGAACCAAGGCTTGCGGGGTGGGGGGTTCTGTGTCACTGGAGTAAGTCTGAAGTCAGAAGGAATTTTATCAAGCTGTCACTAGCTTATATGGATACTTTAGGCTTGAGAATGACAGTTGTCGCCTTCAGGCTGATCATCCATGCCTCTAGTTCATAGAGATAACATAGTACATTTCTACAAGTAGGCTAATAATGCTGCCTCCCTCCTGAAAATATTGTATGTAGTTGGAATGCTTAAAATTGAACTGTACTAAACTCTCACTCCTTTTCACTCATTCATTTATTCATTCAACCAAGAAGTATATATTTTTCTATGGGCTAGAGGAGGAGGACAGCTGCATCTATGGAGTGTCACACTCATTTATAATTACGTTCTAGGCATGTGTCACATCAACTGAATATACAAAGTTAAGAATTGCCTGCTATCTTATCATCACGATAACACATCTTCATAATAGTTTTGAATCATCAGTTTAAAAACATTATATCTAGTATATTATTCTGGAGAGAAGGCAAGAATATAATGTGTTTTATTTTAAAAAGTAAAGTAATCTGTAAAAGTAATCAATTTAACTCTGTATTTGAAGTCTTAATCTTCAGCTATATGGAAAATTCAAATGTTCAGAAAGACACTTTTCTCCAAGGATTCCAGAGAATACAACTTACTTAATAATAATTTACAAGTCTATTTTAGGCAATTAAATATCTTAATTCTGAAATAATTTTTAAATGAACTTCTCAAAAATTTTAATTTATATTTCATATGACATGTAAAAGAAGGAAAACTTGCATAACTGTTTCTTACGTTCCACTTTTGTTATTTGAACCACTGCCAAAGAAAGTTGTGAAGTATCCAAAGTTTTTCTTTGATATACTCCTCCCTTACTCCCCAATTCTTGGACAGCACTTTGAAGCTATGAGGCTCTGCGCCTGCTCAAGGCTTCTCCAGGTCACTGAACCTGAAGACATCTCATCCCTGACTCATTCTTCAAAACATAACCGTCCTTAGTCATATTCCTTCCAGCACTCCACTGCAAATTGGGTTAATCTCATAAACTAATTAAAGTATACTTATGAATTAATGATGACAGTAGGTTAATATGCTGCTGTTCTCAGAGAAATGAGCCAAACAATAGTAAATTTATAGAACTAAAATACTATAAGAATAGGAAATCATTTTCCTATTTATGGACACTGACCAACTAAATATTAAAAAAATCAAGGGTTAAGAAAAAAAAAAATCAAGGGTTACAACAAAAGCAAACCAGCTTACATTTAACTTTAGTTTTTTAGTTTGAGAAAAAGAGGAAATGGAAAAATACTACTACTTGACGTGTATATAGTTTGCATTTGTATTTAACGTCCCTATATAATACAATATATATTATATTTTTATTTAGTTTAATATTTAAAACAATGCTGTAAGTTCATATTATTCCTATTTTATAGATAAGAAAACTTAGGTTCGAAGAGGTTAACTTACTGACCATCGAATAGCATAGCTGGGACTCTAAATAATTCTAATTCCGAGTCAAGTGTTTTTTCACTATGCCACAGCTTCTACAAGTGTTCATAATACCTACTTTTAAACTAAATAAAAGAAACAGAAAAGTATACTACGTACAGTGAGACTATACTTTGATTTCACATATAGCTGGTTTTTAAAGGAAATAGGACTTAAGATGGAGAGGGAGAGTGAGCAAGCCAAGCAAGAGGAAAAGAAAAAGATTACGAGTCAGAAAATACCAAACACAGAGAAAGAGAATATGGAAGGGAAAGAAAGAAAAAGACAGCTGTAACTGAAAGAAAGGATGAGCTGAAGTCCAGGCCCTTCCAGGTCCCCACTCGGTCTTGCTTCTAGCCACATGCAGACTTCACGTCTCCTGGCTCTGTACTCCTCCTCTTCTGTTTCGGCTGCTAAAACTCTTCCCTGGTCTAACTTGCACAGAGAGCTGTGGGCTACTATTTCCACAGGTCCCCAGAGCCCTGACCTTATCTTGGTCTAATCATGGCAATCACCGTTATTAGTTTTCCTTCTACTTATTCAGTGAACAAAACTAAAAGCAACTCACTTTAGAAATCTGCTTATCTCCTCTACCTCTGAGAATTAGTGGAGACCCAAGCACCTGCCTGATACTAACGAAAGTATTATGGCAGAAACAAAGCAACAAAGCCAAACCAGGACTCTGTCACCTCAACAGTCAATGCCCAAAGTTGCCTCTGTATCCATTTTTCACTGAAAAATCACTATCTCTGAGTTACACAATAGATAATAAAATGACTACACATAGTCACCACTTACATTTCTAAGTTTTTGTTTTAGTCAGTCAATTTATTATTTAGGTAAATTAGGAATAATTGCTTTCAAAAGGAGATAAACATCCTATATTACTAGCATTTAACACATTTCTTAAAAAGTTGGCATAATATGTTAATTAAAAGAACTGTCTGAATTTGAAGCTCTTAGTAAGTGAGTGACTTTGGGAAAATTATTTAATGTCTTTGAACTTTAGGTTCTTCATCTATAACATGGGGCTAATAAAGCAGTATTAAACACAAAGGTAGTTTTTAAATAAGTTGAGTGCTTGAAACAGTACCTGGCATATAGCAAGGACTCAACAAATATTATTTCTTATTATTACTTCTATTAGCCACTAGCTTTGCCACCTAGCTGCATGAAACTTAACTATAGTATACCTTTTTGCTTTTTTAAAAAATAGGTTAATTGTAGAAGTTTTAGAAAAAACTTTAAACCCTATCTCTACTAATAATACAAAAACTAGCCAGGTGTGGTGGCGCATGCCTGTAGTCCCAGCTACTCGGGAGGCTGAGACAGGAGAATAGCTTGAACCAAGGAGGTGGAAGTTGCAGTGAGCCAAGATTGTATCACTGCACTCCAGCCAGGATGACAGAGTGAGATTCCGTCTAAGAAAGAGAGAGAGACAGCGAGAGAGAGAGAGAGAGAGAGAGAGAGAGAGAGAGAGAGAGAGAGAGAAAGAAAGAAAGAAAAACAGAAAGAAACAGAAAGAAAGAACAAATGACATATGGAAAGCAACAGTGAAAAGTCAAAGTTGAATAGTGATAGATATATATTAAAATTGAAAAGCAGCACTGGCATCCCTTTACAACTGGTTTACCTCAAAGTCTATCAGCTGCAGGTCAGCTATCAGTGTCACCAGCAGGCCACTGTTGTAGAGCTCCTGTGCCAGCTGAGCCACTGCTTCTGTCGGGGGTTCCTTTTCATTTGTACCACACAGAATTTCTTTCATTGCTTGCAGTGATTTTGACACTTCTTCTGAAGCCTAGCGAGCAAAACATAGGCTAACAGTTAAAAGAATAAAAATTTTAGGCCATTAACAAACAAGTAATCAAAAAAAAAAAAAAAACACTACGTCTTGAGCCCTGTTTATTTATAATCAATGGTACAGTTACAAACAAGCCAAAATAGTAACCACTGCCTTTTTTATTTTGAAAAACATTACTAAAATTTATTTATATAAAAAGTTCTCTTGTATTTCCACTTAGTCAACATAAATTAAATAATCTTTTAAACCACACTCATTGTCTAATTTTGCTAGCAATTCAATATAAATTTTACTCTTGAAAACAGATTCCATTTTGAAGATTTATCAGCAGCTACTAATCTTAATTTAAAGCACTGTTCAGGTTTTTCAACAAATCCCTACTCTTCCGATTTTTGAATGGTCCAAGTATAAAATTGTAAGTTTTCAAAACTCATAAATTTCTTTGTCAATCCATTTATTCCTCATATGTAATCACTGTCTTCTTTGCTATCTATGAAACTTAAAAAAAACTCACTATATTTTAAAGAATACTAGGCAAACCCATAGAGGCAGAAAGTACATAGATTAGGGGGTGTTAGGGCCTGGGAGGGAGCTAAGAGGGTGTTAGAGACGGAAATAAGGAATGACTGCTAGTGGCAACAGGGTTTCTTTCGGGGGTGATGAAATGTTCTAGAATTAGATAGTGGAGATGGTGGCACAACCTTGTGAATATGCTGAAAACGGCAAATTGTACACTTTAAATAGTGAATTATATGGTATGTCAATTATATCTCAATTTAAAAATCTTTTAAACTAATGTAGGTAGGAAAGAAGAGACTAGTTAATAATTTTTCTGAAATTTTAAAAGAAATACACTTTTATTACTTTTAAGTATAATATTATAATCATTATAAATGAAGAAGGAAATAAGTAGAATAAGGCAACTTACATAAAAAGAACTCATGGTAGGATGACTATACTTTTATTATTTATTATTTTTTAATTTTTCTCTGGCTCTGCTTCTTGGATGACACTACTTTTATTTATTTATTTATTTATTTATTTATTTATTTTTGAGACAGTTTTACTCCTGTCACCCAGGCTGGAGTACGATGGCACGATCTCAGCTCACTGCAACTTCCGGCTCTTAGGTTCAAGCGATTCTCCAGCCTCATCTTCCCTAGGAGGTGGGATTACAAGCACCCACCACCATGCCTGGCTAGTAGAGATGGCGTTTTTGTTTTAGTAGAGATGGCGTTTCACTATGTTGGCTAGGCTGGTCTCAAACTCCTGACCTTAGGTGATCTGCCCACCTCGGCCTCCCAAGGTGCTGGGATTACAGGCATGAGCCACTGGGCCTGGCCGACACTACTCTATAAAGTAATTTTTCATATACTTTAATAGCCTGACTGAAGCAATCCTTAATGTACTAAAGACGGGAAGCATCTTAAATTGTGAGATATATCCACAGAAGAGTGCTTTAAACATACATAGAGAGTATGTTTAAGACAGAGTTAAGAATAATCATAAAGGAAACATCTTTGTGACCATCACTCAGTCAAGAAACAGAACATTTTCAGCACCTAGGAGTCACCTGAAGACCCTTTCAGCTTAGATGTAAATACTTTTATATCTATTGTGATAAACGTCTTGTCAGTTTTCATACCTAGGTATGCATCCCAAAACAATATAGCTTAGTTCCACTGATTTTGAACTTTATGAACCAGTACACTACCCTTTCATGATTTGCTTCTTTCATTCAACATTATATTTGAGAAATTCATCTATGCTGTGGCATGTAGGCAGAAGTTCTTTAATTTTTATTGCTTTCTGGTGTTCCACCCTAATGCCTATGCTGCAACTTTTTTATTGGTTCTATTGTTCATGGACATTGGGTTGTTCCCATTGAGGGGTTTTTGCAAACTACAATGCTATGAAAATTCTTGTACATTTTTCCTGGTGTAGATGTGCAAGAATATCTCTAGAGTTTATACCTAGGAGTGGCACTACAGGATTTTAGTTCGTGCATATTTTCACATTTCACAGATAATACTAAACTGGTTTCCAAAGCAGTTATATCAATGTATACATCATGATCCACAGTTAATGAAAGTCCTCATTGCTCTCCATTTTTGACAACACTTAACATCATCACACCTTTTCTTTTTTGCCCATACAGGAGTTGTGTAATGTGAATTTATTGTGTTTTTAGTTGGCCTTTTCTTAGTAAAGAAAATGTATAAAAGTTGTTTTCTTTTCTTTTTTCCCTCTTTTACCACTCAGATTTATACTTGTAAAAAGTTCATTTTTCTTCTATTTAGGCCAAGATTTGGCTCAATATTACAAAGTATAATGGAATTAAAATAAGCTATTTCTACACCCCTTATATAATTCAAGATTGTATCATTTACCGGAATAGAAGAATACTATGAACTCGAGTATTTATTTTATAGATATCTTGAGTCTTGCCATAAACTAGTCACTTTAGAGAGAAATCGAATATATAGGATTCAATATCGCTTTGAGGGAATAACTAACATTCCTGTGAGGAAGCCCCACTTAATAAGACCTTAAAACTGTATAAAAATGAGATTTACTGTAACAGAAACTATCAGTCAATCTTTAAATAAAAAACTTTTTACCTTTCATTTCAATGTAACATTACACACCATTATAACCTTATTCTATATTTTTAAGCTGTGTAGTCTAGAGGGACCCAGTGTTGGTCAGAAGCTCTAGAGAGCAAACCTAAAGTTCATCACAACAGACCAAACAATAATCAGTTGCATAAAACCTGAAATCAACTTAAATCTATTTATAGAGACCCTATGTGCACATCACAGACCATATTTTGAATTCCTCATTCAGCTTTTACACCGATGTTTGGCATTGCAATATATGTATTTTAACCATAATGTTACTGTTTTAGCTCATACCTTGTCTGTCTTTTTGTCTTGCTTTTCCAAAATGGCCAAATTGTCTTTCAGGATTTTCACAATTTCTGCTGGATTTTTGTGTGATTTACTAAACAAAGGCATTCTTTTCATGTGTAGAAATCTCTTCTTCCAATATGAAATGCTAAAAACAAATAAGCCAACAAAAATTACAGCTTTAACTCTTAATATGCTTAAATTTGGAAACAATATGTCTTATAAATTTTTAACAACATGAATTAGGTAATCTGAAACATTAAAACTGATCAAATTAAAATGAGTTCCAAGTTTTATGCCAAATGTAAATACATATAAAATATTTTTTTAAATATATTTTTAAAGATTTGCTTGAAACTTTTAATACAAAGTTTAAAATCTTTTCTGCAATAGAAACATAAGGATTATGCAAGAAATAATTTTAGAGTCTAAGCTGATACGTAAAACTAGATATTTTGACCAAAGGAAGCAATAATAATAAATATATTCTATAATATTAGCTGTATGTATTCTATAATGTTTAGCTACTATTATTACGAGAAGGTCTATGACATAGTTAATGAATTATTTCACTAAAGAGAAAGGCACAGTAGTTGGGAGATGATTCTATCTTAAATGCCCTAGACATTTCTCGCTTTTTGAGTTAATTATACGTTTTTCCGTTATTTAAAAAAAAAATAAACTTATCCTCTGAATGCTTAATACTCAATGTTCAAATATTTTACATCAAAGTAGAATTTTAAAAAGAAGCCAAATGCATTCATGTATAGACATACCAAGGAGATACTGTAGGTTCAGTTCCAGACCGTTGCAATAAAGCAAATTTCTCAATAAAGTGAGTCACAAAATGTATTTGGTTTCCTAGTACCTATAAAAGTTATATTTATACTATACTGTAGTCTATAAAGTATGCAATAGTATTATATCTAAGAAAACAATATGTATGACTTAATTTATAAAAATATTTCTTGCTAAAAATGCTAATGATCATCTGACCCTTCCTTCAGTGAGTCCTAATCTTTTTGCTGGTTGGAGAGTCTTGCATAAATGTTGATGGCTGCTGACTGATCAGGGTGTTGGTTGCTGAAGGCTGGAGTAGCCACGGCGATTTCTTAAAAGAAGACAGTAAGGTTTGCTACTTTTACTGACTCTTCCTTTCATGAAAGATTTCTGTATAGCATGTGATACAGTTTGTTAGCAGTTTACTCACAGTAGAACTGCTTTCAAAATTGAAGTCAATCCTCTCAAACCCTGCCCCTGCTTTAACTGCTATGTAATATGCTAAGTCCTTTGCTGTCATTTCATCTTCACCAGGAGTAGATTCCATCTCAAGAAAACACTTTGCTCATCCACAGAAGAAACACTCCTCACCTGTTGAAGTTTTATCATGAAGTTGCAGCAATTCAGTCACATCTTCAGGCTCTACTCCTAATTCTTGTTCTTTTGTTATTTCCACCACATTGGCAGTTACCTCCACCACTAAAGTCTTGAACCCCTCAAAGTTATCCATGAGTGTTAGAATCAACTTCTTTTGAACTCCTGAAAATGTTGATATTTTGACCTCCTCCCATGAATCACAAGTGTTCTTAATGGCATCTAGAATGGTGAATCTTTTACAGCAGGTTTTTCTATTTGGTTTGCCCAGACTCATTAGAGGAATCACTATCTGTGGCAGCTTTCACCTTATGAAATTTAATTCTTTAGGGTTTAAAAAAAACTTTTATTATAACAATATGAACATATGAAATGTATTTCTTTAACAAGTCTGAAAAGTCAAAGTTACTCCTTTGTCCATGGGCTGCAGAATGGATGTTAACAGGCATGAAAACAACATTAATCTCCTTGTACACCTCCACCAGAGCTCTGGGATGATGAGGTGCACTGTCAGTGAGCAGTAATATTTTCAAAGGAATCTTTTATTCTGAGCAGTGGGTCTCAACAGAGAGCTTAAAATATTCAGAAAACCATGCTGCAAATAGATGTGCTGTCATTCATGCTTTGTTATTCCATTCATAGAGCACAGGCCAAATAGATTTAGCATAATTCTTAAGAGCCCTAGGGTTTGGGGGATGGGAAATGAGCATTAGCTTCTACTTCAAGTCACCAGCTGCATTAGCCCCTAACAAGGGAGTCATCAGCTTGTCCTTCAAAGCCAGGCACTGACTCCTCCTTTTTAGCTATGAAAGTCCTAGACGGCATCTTCTTCCAATACAAACGTGTTCCAGCTACATTGAAAATCTGTTGCTTTGTGTGGCTACCCTCACCAACGATCTCAGCTAGCTCTTCTGGGTAATTTGCTGCAGCTTCTACGACAGCATTTGCTGCTTTCCCCAGCACTTTTATGTTCTAGAGATGGCTTCTTTCCTTAAACCTCATGGAGTAAACCTCTTTTAGCTTCAGACTTTTCTTCTGCATCTTCCTTACCTCTCTCAGTCTTCATAGAGCTGAAGAGAGTTGGGGCCTTGTCCTGGACTAGGCTTAAGAGAATGTTGTGTCTGGCTTGATCTTCTATCCAGATCGCTTAAACTTTCTTCATATTAACAATTAGCTGTTTTGTTTTCTTATTATTAGTGTTTCCATTGGAGTAGCACTTTTCATTTTCTTCAAGAACATTTCCTTTGCGTCCACAGCTTGGCTTACTGGTGCAAAAGCCCTAGCTTTCAGCCTGCATCAGCTCTGGATACGCTTTCCTCACTAAGATTAATCATTTCCACCTTTTGATTTAAAGTGAGAGATATGTTACTCTTCCTTTTACTTGAACACTTAGAGGCCACTATAGGGCTATGAGCCGGCCTAATTTCAGTATTTTTGCATCTCAGGGAACAGGGAGGCCTGAGGAGAGTAAGGCAGGGGAACGGCCAGTTGATGGAGCAGTCAACACAAGCAGCATTTATTGATTACGGGCACAGTTTGTGGTGTCCTGAAACAATTACAATAGTAACATCAGAGATCATTGATCACAGATCACCATAACAGATGTACTAACAAATGAAAACGTTTGAAATATTGTGAGAATTAACAAAATGTATCAAGAGATACAAAGTGAGCACATGCTGTTGAAAAAATGGCGCCAATATACTTCCTCTATACAGGGTTGTCATAAACCTTTCATTTTTCAAAAACACAGGACACTAAAGCACAATAAAGGTGAACTACAATAAAATAAGGTGTACCTGTAATTGCTTTCTTTCTCTCTGTAGTTCTACAGCACTAAGGGAAAGATATATAATTGTAGGAATTTTAAATACTCTCTGACATCAAAACAGAGTACAAATTATGACATAGTATCACAGAGATAGTATGATATGATTTTTGTCCATTATTACTCTGCTTGGTTCTCACTATAACAAGCTAATGCTAATTTTCTTAAATTAAAATTTTTTTCAGAGCTTCCCTGTCAATCTGGTGATTAGCTAGCATTTTCTGATTCACTATCTCTCCTTTTCATCTGATGGTGGGTTTGTTTATTTATTCACTGAATAAATAATCTGAGTAATTACTGAGCAGAGGCACTTTGCTAAATACTAGGGATAGAGCCACGAACAAGAAAAACACAATCCCTGCTCTTTGGAGCTTATTATTAAGTGGCAAAAGCAAACACTTTAGGGGCAATGGTGTCATACAATGGGGAAATAACACATAGTATACTGCCTCAATACAATCTCTTTTCCCCAAAATTTTCATGTTTTACTATACCTACTTATTGTAATAAATGTAATATTAGTTTAACAGTGTTTTAAAATTTCACCTGATCATTATTCTTCAATTTTGGGATCCATATTTTGAAGGAAATCAAAATTCATCCTCTTAAACTGTAGTTGAGTTCCAGCACCCAGACCTCCTGCAAATTAAGGCAGAACTCTCCTGCCTGCCCCAGTTCTTCTCAGACCACGGCCAGCCCCACTCCACTCCCAGACCGAACACCTCCCCCATCACCTGGAAACTTGGGGCTGTCCTTCTCATACCCTGGGCAACCGTTCTGGTCACTGTATGTGCATCTTCTCCAATCATATCATTTACTCCAGTGGTGGTCATTTAAGCATTGAGCCAAGCAGCACTCAAACCTTCTACATAGGGCCGGGCGCGGTGGCTCAAGCCTGTAATCCCAGCACTTTGGGAGGCCGAGGCAGGTGGATCACGAGATCAAGAGATCGAGACCATCCTGGTCAACATGGTGAAACCCCATCTCTACTAAAAATACAAAAAATTAGCTGGACATGGTGGCACACGCCTGTAATCCCAGCTACTCGGGAGGCTGAGGCAGGAGAATTGCCCGAACCTAGGAGGCGGAGGTTGCAGTGAGCCGAGATCGTGCCATTGCACTCCAGCCTGGGTAACAAGAGCAAAACTCCGTCTCAAAAAAAAAAAAAAAACTTTCTACATAAACATAAGACATGTAAACTCCCTCTAGTTGATTGACAACTGATCTACTGTATGATTCAAAAGAAGTTAATCACCCCCATCTAGGTGTCATTTGTTCTCTCTGTAAAATGATGCTGTTCTTAGAGTAAGATTGTACATCGGGGCTCTAGGTTATTCATCACTGTTCCACATCCATTCTGAGTCTTTAACTCCCAATATCTTATCACAGCCAAAGATAAAGTGCTTAAGTTGGGAAAAAAAGAAATGGAGAGGCCTGACAATGGTGCTTTGTGGGGATAAGGTAGTAGTAATTTTTTTCATAAAGTCTACCTTGGGGTTTTAAGAACATATATTATATTTCAGCAAAGCAGGCAGTGGGGACAGGAAAAGATGCATGTTAGTGCAAAAAACTGACACTAGATAAATGCATTGAAAAGTGTGTTAGGCATTGAAAACTGTGTTGAGACCATGCACATCAACCTGCCCTCCGTGTTAATGCTGACAGCAGGCCATGCAGAACAGAAATGTTAGGGCCTGACAATGGCCCTCTTATAAGGGTTTGTAAGCAGAATAAACAAATAGTAGGTTGTTCTTTTTAAATTATTATTAAACGAACACAAGTAAAGGAAATAAATGCCCTGCAGACTTGGGCAAGAAAGATTGCTTTTGAAATTAATTCTCTATAAAGCTAGAACAGACATAAATTTCAGAAAAGGAGACAAAAAGCTCTTTTAGACAAAAAGAGAGCTGGCCAAGGTAAAAGACTGAAAATACATACATACATGC